GTGCGCGACGCTATTGATTTATTTTTAATTATAATAATTATGCAGAAATGAAAGACTGTATACTTCATGAAAGTAATCGAGAGGCCTAATGTGCCATAAGAGCTGGAGAAGTGTCTCAGCATATTTCACAACGCTGGTAAGTATTCAATAAACTTTTAATTTGTAAAAAATGTAGTCTTGATAAGTTTATATTAATACATATACTATTACCTAAATATTTTTACATAAATTTTCATATTTTAATTTTCATATTTTATCTTTTCATAAATACTTTTTAGGGGTGTAAAAAATTGGATTGGAAATTTCGAATTCTGGCCGGAACTGTATATGGTCTAAAATAATTTTATTTTATCGCTTGTTGCGTTTCGTATGGAGACTTGCTCAAAATGGTGACTTTTTAAATATAAACATAAAGAATATTTATTGGCTTTAGTACATACATCAACTATCTTATAGCCAGCTGCTACAAGGAAGTGCTGCTACATCCATTATCTTGCTGTTGCTACACCGACTATCTTATAGCCTGTTTCTACAAGGAATTGCTGCTACATTGACTAAGGATTTAGCATAGGGCAGCAATCTTTTTTCTTTTATTATTTCAATTAAAATTTCTAATGTTTAAAAACTCTCCACTAACAAGAAAGAAACAAGCAAAAAAATAAAATTATTTTAGAGCGCTAAACTATAGCTTTACCTAAAATACATTGTTTTTTTTAAAGAATTTTGTATTTTTTACCTAGGTTTACCCATAGTTCTTCATTGCCCTGTAAGACAGTGATTTTTTGATTTAATTTACACAGTCTGTGTCACATGTCTTAAATAAATAAAGTAAAAAATAAATTCCAGCATTACGGTTTGAAATATTATAATTCCGGCCGGAACCCGAATACCCTAAAATTCACAAATTCCGGCCGGAACGGAATTCTGGTACATCCCTAATATTTTTATTTATTTCCTTAGGTATAACATAACAGCAGGAACTGATTGGATATTTTATCTTATGGGTGCTTTAAGACAAAACAATGTGTTTCACTTGTGGAAAGACGAACTTGAAATTTTTTTCTACATAATGTATTGTGAAAGATTAGAGTTAATCACAAAGTTCATCAGATTCGACATCAAGGAAACATGTACTGAAAGTCAACATGATAAACTAACAGCTTTTAGAGACATATGGGAGCAGTTATTCAAATGATGTCAAACCATATCGGAACCATGCTTTATAGATTCCGATATGATTTGTGTTGTCAAACAAATAGTTACAATACAAGGGCGAGTGTCTTTTAAAGTTTACATGCCAAAAAAACCTGATAAATATGACAATAACTTGTTCAAAGTATTGCTACTTTTAGAATGCTGAGATTTATTTAGGAATGATTGCTAGGGAAGGAGAAGTAGGGCAAGGAAAATGAGTGGTGCTACAGCTAACTGAACCAACTCATGGAGTGGGAGAAATATCACAACTAACCTATTCCCATCTATTCTGCTAGCCAATGAACATCTAGCACAGAACTTCACTCTGCTCAGAACCCTAGGTTGTAACAAACCAGATATCGCTCCCCAACTACTTCTTCCTCGAGTTTAATGAGATTCTATAACTGTGTATTCTGAAAAAATGCAGCTAGTGAGTTACATTCCAAAAACTAACAACGTTGTTATCATGTTGTCTACTCTCCACACATCTAGATGTCTGAAGAAGTGCTTTTAAATAAAAAAAGTTACATTATAATGAACTCTTCAAATCCTACTAAACTTGAAATGTTGAAGCCTTATATTTACTCTCTGGCTGCAGCAGCCAAGGGCAGTGTTTAAGGTTGTAAAACAAGCGCAGAATTAAAGGGTTAACCTGCTTTTTGAGTCATTCAATTTCCTCCTAATGACGGTAGAACTACAAAAGCAGCACCTTTTATTAGTAAAAACCTATCAAGTGTAACACTAATCAGATTTTCCAAAGTATGCAAGAGCTTGCCATACAAAGGTTATCAATGACTTAGAAAAACAATGCATTGATCGGTTTATACAACAGCTGCATAACCAAAGATAAGGAACAAATTTGTTTTTACTTTGCCTTGTGGATTTTCCTTGTGTATTTCTTGTAGAGTTTCTGCTTCTAAATCCTTATTTATGAAACAGTGAAGAAGCTGCGATGATGTGAAAATGACTTTTGAACAAGTTTAATTATAACAAACATATGAAAATGGTATCCAAGGAATTACATGACATTAACCTTTGCTTTTTTCAGTTTCTAAAATTATATTAATGCTGTAAACTAAAGCCATATGTTAAAATGATATACATGTATGCTGGTTGCGTATATATATATATATATATATATATATATATATATATATATATATATATATATATATATATATATATATATATATATATATATATAACACATGGAATCGACAGTCAAATTTTTTTTTGGACGGTCAAAACTTAAATTTTTTTAATTTGTTTAAATTTTAATTATAGTATTAGTTTTTCATAACTTTATAAACACAAAAATAATAGGATATTAACCAAATTGTTAATTTTAATGTTTAAAATTAACAATTTTGGTCCTTTTAAAATAATTATTTAAAATAAAA